GAGCGTGGTTGGATGGTTAAGAGGGGGATGTAAAAGGATGGAAGGTTGAGAAGAAAGGATATGAAAGAAGGGATGTATGGTTGGGTGGAGGAATGAACCGGAAGATGGTTGGTGGGGGAATGGAGGTGGATGGAAGAATGGGTGGAGGGTTGACAGGGGATAGAGATGAATTGAGGGAATAGAGGGTACAGAGGGATGGAGATAAATGGAAGGAATGGTGAGTTGAAAGGGAAGGATATGAATGGAAGGATAGGTGGTTGGTGAGGTGAATGAAAAGGAAGGATGATTGAGAGGGAATGAAGATGGATGGAGGGAATGGGTGGTTGAGAGGGAATGCTTGGATGCAAAAATTGGAGATTAAGTGGATGGAAAGTTGAGAGAAGAAGGATGTGAATGGAGAGATCCAAACTGTCAGAAATGATGACAACAATGACAAGGACAGACATTTTCACTTGTAACTTTGTAACTTTTTAGTCATCTATGATTTAGGCAAAGCAAAAATTGATCGTCCCCTATGAGGCTTGACCTTGTCAATGCTTGTGCACTTTCGTGACCTGAAGATCTACGCCGTCGGGAGTCTACAACTCCTGGTAGGGCCACCCAAGGTGGACAGGTCAACAGGTAGAAGCCAGACAAAGAGTAGGCTCCTGGTCCTCCAGGTTGGGGGTTTGGTAATGGGCGAAATTCTTGTAAAAAAACAGCTTATTACAGAAACCAATAATAATTTAATTAAATCAGGCTTTAAAACAGTGACTTGCTAAATACCAGAAGATGATAACATCAGATTCTCTGATGACCAGAGCAGGATGATGTTTGTGGATGAAAGCCGCAAGGAAGCCCATTGATTGATGGAGTCACCTACAAAGCTTAAACAAGTTCTTAATATTGGGAACTGGAATGTAAAAACAATGATGCAATAGGGAAAACAGCACAAGTAGCAAAGGTCATGAGTAAGTAACAGTGCAAAAAAAGAGAGAAATTTGGGTAGATGGAAAACTTGAAATGAGGTCAGGGGAAGTACACAAGAACTGGAAGACAAGTGTTATGGCCTTATGTGCCAGGAGGCACGAAGAGGATAGATAGATAAATAGATAGATAGAATAATTGATTATGTGTGGTTATTTTACAGATATGCGATCGATTTCAAGACTGCGGTGATATCAGTGTGTCTGTAAAAGTTTATAAAAATATCTTTTCTATTAATGATGAATCTCACTATATAAGTATGTATGTTGACAGCCAAATAGATAAAGGTAAGAACATTAATAATTAATGCATATTAGATTAAATTGTGAAATAATGAAAATTTCTTTTCTGTTCATGACGTTATTTATCTTCAGGAAATTTTCTAGAAGCTTTGGTAAATTACAATATGCTGATGAAGAAAATAAAGATGGCAGCAGATCATGATGAGAACAACTTGATACGAAAACAGTTAACGATATGTCAACAAATTATACAAAGTACACAACTAAACCCAGAGGATCTTCAATTGTTGATACATCAAATAAATGTAATTAATACACAAAACATGGATGTTATGCAACAAAGTAAGTTTTTCTCAAATAGTTATCATCACAGGTCAAATATACACAAATATACATATAGTTTTATTTATTACATGTACCATGCCACATTATACCATGGTAACTGTTTTCCATACCCTACAACATTCCACTTTCTCCTTTAATGATCTCATTAATCATGCCTTCATAAAATAATAAAATTCTAAAAAAATAATAAATTATCTGTGTAATGTTTTGGATAATTGGTCATATTTTGGGAGATCATAGGAATCAAAACATCTAAAAGATTGTCATTTGTGGTGGGCAATGTTTCAAATAAATAGGGTAAAGAGCCCTGACTGATTGCTGCCGTTGGTGATGTGCCTGATCAGTCTCTGCCACAGGCATAATTTTACATTTCAATACAAGGAATTATTATTATTAAAAGTTTAGTATTACATTAAAAAAAACATGATATGCAGTAAAAATGATTCAATTGATAATTCTATTGATGTACTCTGGTCAATATCTTTCATAATTGTGTTTCCTAGGTCAGCTGATTGATGTACTCTGGTCAATATCTTTCATAATTGTGTTTTCTAGGTCCAGCTGATTGATGTACTCTGGTCAATATCTTTCATGATTGTGTTTCCTAGGTCAGCTGATTGATGTACTCTGGTTAATATCTTTCATAATTGTGTTTCCTAGGTCAGCTGATTGATGTACTCTGGTCAATATCTTTCATAATTCTGTTTCCTAGGTT